GCAGTTTGAAACCACCAGTAGCTCTGCAGGAGAGACTGGGCTTTCCACTCCCATAAGAGTTGCAGTCTTGGAAACCCACAGGGGGTTAGCACGTGAGTTCTTAAACTTGAAGCAGGACAAAGACAAAATGGAGACAGAAATGATTCATCCTGATGAGAGACAATCACATGATGCCGTGATGATGTCCAAAGGATTCACAGTCATGTGGCTATGTAAACAGGACATGAAAACAAAGGAAATTGTCACAAAATCATAACTGGGTAGCAGATCAATTCACTATAGTTGTTGGCAGAACTACAAAAGCAGAAAAGGGACCGTGATTGGAATACATACACTACCACAGATTAGAAGAGTTCACCAGGTTGGTTCTGAGACCCTCTGACCATCTTGGTTAGCGCCCAGCTGACTCATGACCATACAGCTCTAGTAGCCCAATTTCCATCAAGCGTGTGCCCAGGAGAGTTCCTAAAGATGAGACCACCCCTCCCTGGATTAGTCAGGGGCCTCAAAGCCCACTGCTATCGAGTTGATTCTGACTCAGAGTGACCCTAGCGGGCAGAGTAGAACTACCCCTGTGAGTTTCCGAGTTGTAACTTATTATGGGAGTAGAAAGTCCCATCTTCTCTAGTGGAGCAGCTGGTGGTTTTAAACTGCCAACTTTACAGTAAGCAGCCTAACGTGTAACCACTATGCCACCAGCAAATACACTTGACTTGAGGGCAAAGCTTTTTAGATTGCTTATCCATTGTGAGAAGTAACTCAATTAATGCTGAGTCTATATGGAGACTCAAACATGAATCTAGAGCTCCCACTGTTTCTTTCAGCAAACCTATTCAGCATTTAAGCTTTAATGTACACATTCCTTAGATTTACATACAAATTATCCTTTAAGTACTTAATGATTATTTTGAAAGAGTAGTATAATTTTAATAACTCATGTTTATTACTTAAGTGACACATCAATCTAGTCAGTGGAGTTAGTGTGCTTTGCTGGTATGTAGCTTCCAATAAGGTATACGACCTCTTCATTGCCCTTACAGTTACCTTGAAGAAGATACACTACATGGTGAAATGACAAAACAGCAAGAAAAAGAGTGGAGCATACAAATCTAAACTGAACAATGAGTCCCTGGATAGGCACCGGTTAGTTTTGCAAAAGTCCTGTTCCTGATGCTAGAACAGTTTCTATGTCTCTGTTTAGGGTCAGGCACTAAACAAAATGTGAAAACAACAAATTGCACAGGTTGAACAACTGAAAATATGCATATGGAGATCCTCTGTGAAAGAAGAACCTCCAAGATGAAATAAAAGAAACCTGAAGAAGGCATGGCCCACTCCTGCACTTGTCAAGAAAATACGCGAAGATAAGAAGAGACTGCACGATTTCAAGGATCACACTAATGAGGAGAGGTTGGCTTAATCAAAGAAAAGAAAATTGACAACAAGTTGCTCCTATCTGTAGACATTGTCAGATAGTATGATGATTATAGAGTTCAGCTGCATGCAAAAATGATGAGAGGCCCTGGAAAGAAATGGGATTAAAACAAGCTTTACAAATTCAGAAGCAAGGATTGTAAGACCTGAAAAACTATCCTAAAGCAAGTCAAGATTAACAAAAGATACAGCACCAGATGAACAGGACTCAATGGAGAACTACGACCATGAACCGTTTCTTTGCTGGCAGAAGTCTTCCCACATGAACATCAAGAACTCAAAAGGATACAGAAACCTCAGACCCAGACATTGCATAAGGTGAAGAAGGCGCTGAAATCTTCGATGGAGAAGGTAGTTCCGCAGCTGCAGAACTAGATAACACAGTACAAAGGCGGGGCATTTTTCCTGAAACTGGAACCTGCACTTTTATAATCTTGGCTTCATCTGATTTGCTTTCAGTACAGTAAATATACCTTACTATGACTCTATACACCACTAGGCGAAGTTCCTAGAAGTCGTTACCAGAGCAGAGCTAGAATGGAGTCAGTAAACAGTAAACCAGAAGAATCATTTAAGAATGCCTTATCTATGTATTTATTCCAGTCCTTTTTATGTAGTTTCTAATAAAGAAATACTTCCATAAAGTTAAAAAGTAACATGCCTATCTATGTTATTGTATAAGTAAGGCATTTTGCATTGATAACAATTTTGAAAATGTTCTCAAGTAGCACCTCAGATAATTGGGGTCCCGCATGGAGCTATGGCTGAGCTCTGGGTGCCCTGTGGGGGCCCTCTGAATGATATCCTGCAGGCACAGGTAACAACTCAGTTACATGAGGAATATTGGCCAACTGGTTTTTGGATGCCTTCTCCAATTGGTCCCAGGGTTCCTTGGTCCTGCCATGAATAACAAGGGGTAACAACAGGGTGGAAGGGCAATACGGGTTACAGACAGGCAGGGAAGGCAGTCAAGTACTAAAAGGTGCTTAGGAGGTAGTTGGATGAAGCGTCGGGGGAAGGGAAGGAGACTGCACAGAACTGTAGGTCTGGAGGTGGTAGTGGGGGGAGGGGTGGGAAGAGAACGATCAAGAGTCCTCTGAGCACTAGCCGCCACCACCACCCCTCCACCAGCCCCTACTAGCTGTTCTATGGTTGGAAAAGGTATGGTGAGGAAGTGAGGCCCACTACACCTAGTGTATTCCAAGAAGTGTGGGGAGTGTCAGAGGGGTGGTGAACAACCGGGATGCTGATAAAGAGTGGGCATGGCCAACCCTCTCATCTAATGCTGATTTCATATAACGATTTGGTCTCTGGAAACTAACCTTGTCCATAAGTGAGGCAAGGATGTATTATTCTTAAGTATATAAGTTATTTCCATACAGCAGAACTTTGGCTTGATCTAAATTGGCAAATAAAGGAATCAGGAAAGTCCCTTGTAAGAATTTGTAAGCCTTTGAATATATGGATGAGGCAGACAATTTGCATTTTGGGTGGGGGCTAGGAAACACCGTGCCTTTTCTATGGACATATGATAGGGGCTTTTAAAAATTCTTGGAAAAATGAAATTGAAAAATAATGGACCTATTCCATGAACTTTTTGAAGCACTTACATTTAATCAGGCCTGTTTTATAACTCAGGAGAATCTGACAGGAGGGGTAAATAGGAAATATATGACAAATACCTTGATCTTGGCCAATTCCAGTGTCTTTTTGCCATCCCAGGCCCAGCCTCTTTTTGTAAAATAGTTGACAGTGGCAAATTCAATCAGGGCAGAGAACACAAAGGCATAGCACACAGCTATGAACCAGTCCATGGCTGTAGCATAAGCCACTTTAGGCAGAGAGTTCCGAGCACTGATGCTGAGGGTGGTCATTGTCAGCACTGTGGTCACCCCTATGGTGGTCAGTAACAGGGTGACAAGTCAAAGAGGAGAAACAAGAGTTAGTACTGGTACCCCGAATCCCCTCATTGCACATTTGTAAGAGAGAATACATGATACATTCATGAAAACACTAGTTGTTTCCCCTCAAGCCTGGTATCTCTCTCCTCTGAACTTAGTTGTCCAGCGAAGTACTTTACAGTTCTTATCGGAAGCTTCAATTTAGCACGACCCAAACATTCCCTTGTTCTTTCTTCAATGCTTCCCTCACCATTTTTGGACACTGCCCAGCAGGGACTCAGGCCAAAAGCGCCTGAGTGATCCTCAATTCCCCAACTTGACTCATTTCTTTACACCCAAATTGAACTTAGTGACCAACTTTATGTACCTCTACCTTCGGAAACATACCCAGAATCTGAACACTTTCCACCACTCTGATCTACATCACCATCACTGTTTTTCTTTTGGAATATTGTAAGAATCTCACAAATGGACTTCTTTCTTCAGCCTATTTTTGAAAATAACAGCCAGAGTGAGCTTCTAAAATATAAGTTAAATCATGTCTTTTATCTACTCAGGACTCATTAAAACCTTCCTATCTTCATTGGGAGGGTCAGGGGGCAAGTACTTAGCCATGATCTCCAGTATTCCCCAAGTGCCACAACCTCTCTAAACTCATCTTTCTCTGTCTCTGCTCACTAAACTCCTTCCCCCTAGCTACCTTGTCTCCCTTCAGACTTCACTGACTGCTCCTTGTGCACTCAGGCTCTTTCTCGTGTCCATATAAGGCCCTCACTTTTGAACTTCCTTTGGCTCTTCACTCAAATGTCTTCTTCTGAGATAAATGCTTTTCAAATCCCATTTTACAGTCTCTTTTCTACACACACTGCCTCTGATTGTCTTGTGGCTCCTTTTGATCTATAACACTAAGCAAATCATAGCATTATCACCACACGTCTGTTGACTGCTTCCTTTCTCTGTGAATTTAACCTGGCAGGGATTTGAGTCTGATTTCTGCAATGCCCCATTGGCTTGAACAGAGCCAAGCAAATAGTTGGTGTTCAATAAAAGATCTGATAAATGAATGGAATTTCGGGTGATACTAGGGCAGTATCCAATTTAAGAGCAATTGAATTTACGTAGCATATAATAGAGTGCTTCACAAACATACAATGTGTGTCTTGTAGCAGTGGGCTGGAGACAATCTCTCCTCCACAAATATGAATTTTGTAGACTTCCCCAAGTCAGTTCAATTCAGAGTGCTGTGTCGGAATCTCTGTCTGAACACATAAGTCCCACAAAGAGGAAATGAGGAACACCATTTAGCAATTGACATTATTGTAACTAAATGATGAAAACTCTATTGGAAGCAGATCTGCCAGAATCCTGCAGGCCTGCAACATCTCCACATGATCTACCCTTCCTCCTCCAACCATGCTGTCTGTGGGTCTGGATGTGTGCATGTGTAGGTACACAGATGCACCCTCAAAGTAGAACATTGCTGCAGAACATATCTACTATGAATTCTCATTCCGGATCTGCCTTCAAGGGTATTTATATACATTTAAGGAGCCCTGGTGTAGTGGTTATGCTATGGGTTGTAATCCACCAGCAGCTCCTTGGGGGCAAGACTCGGCTTTCTCTTCTTAAACAGTTATAGTCTTGGAAATTCACAGGGCGTTGCTATGAGTCAGCAACAACTCAATGGCAGTGAGTTTTGTTTCAGTATTGACCATAGCACAATGGTCATTCTGTACAGAATTAATGTTTCATCAGAAATCAACTGCGGATGAAGTAGCTGTGGGTTTTCTTCAAAATCCAATTAGTCATGGTATTGAGTAGAGAGTGTTCTGGGCATGGCATTAAATTGGTTTCTTGAGTCTTCTTGAATTCCTTAGCATTGAGACTCTCTAAGAGGAAACACCACAGATGAAGCATTTTCCAATCAACCTTTTTTCCCTACCCACAGCTATTGCTATTTCCCTACAGGGCTCTGGGAGGTGAGCTAAGCTGTGCAGCACTGCTTGGCCCTAAGCCTATCTCAACACTTCCTGAGACACCCCTGAACGATAAACCAAGTCAGAGAGATTTGACTAATCACTAATTAGTAAAATCAGATTATACTAATCACTTATGGAGGAACAAAACGTTTTGGCTTTCTCTAAACTCTGCAACCAATACAATAAGATACATGCCATTATTTTCATCTTAACATATTAAGAATAATAAGTGCAGTGGTTAGAGCTAACAGGCAAATAGTACACCACAGTTTGAAAATAAATGCAACCTTTTATTATTACAACTAACCTGCAAATGCACATTCAGTATCTCCTCCAATTTGAATAATCTGAGGATACCCAATACTGTCTGCTGTGTCAAGGTACTTACTCAATTCGATCTTTCTAAATGTTAACATCTTGACTTAGGGATGCCAAATAGTCTTCTATACTACTATCACATATATTTTTATTTATTACTATAAACTCCAAAAATAGAAAAAGAACATCTCACTGTCATCGAGTCCATCTGGGCTCACGGCATCCCCACAGATCAAGAAAGAATGGTCCCCGGGGGTTTCTAGGAGTGGAACTCTTTATAGGAGTAGAGACCCTCATTTTTCTCCAGAATAGTTAGTGGATTTGAACTACTAACCTTGCAGTTAATATCCCAACACATAATCCACTACACCACAAGGACTCCAGTACCACATAAAATATGTTGATTGACACATTGCAGTTAACTTTTAAGTGGCAAATATATTGCAAAGAAAAACTAAATGACATAAAGTAGTGCTTCATTAGAACAATTCAATTGGAATATTTAAAACAAAATCTTAGCTAACACTGCTTTCTGGCCATTTGAAACCTCAAAAAAAAGTAAGCACTGACAGGCTCTCAAACCATCATGCATTATTTCATAAGCCTTCGGTCTCAGAGAAATCCTAAATGCTAATCCTTCACAAACCTTGAACTCATTGATCTATCTGTTTTTCAAATCATCACAGCACTGGTATACTTAAGGTTGTGGGTGTACTGATTTTGGGATCAGCGTCTAGAGTGTAGCCTGAGGACACTCACCAAAGACTGTCCTCGCAGGAACTGACTCCCGATTCAGCCAGAAAGACACCTGAGATAAGATCACTGTCATGATGCAGGGAAGGTAGGTCTGGATGACAAAGTACCCAATCTTCCTCTTCAAATGGAAATGTGCTGTCATAATTGTGTATTCACCTGCAGACAAACGAATATCCACATGTCATCTACAGTGATCGAGGTCCCAGAGAAAGGGAAGGGCCAGTGGCTCCTGCCTGCAGGCTCAGAAGGCTTCGGGAATAACACCGTCTCTTCTATTGTTGAATAAGAACTTAGTTGTGCTATTTGGGTAAAACGAAAGAGTTTTTAACCATTTTAATTCTGTTGGTACTGGCCTCAGAGAAACATTGTCTGACCGATGCTTCCCCTGGGAACATGAGATTTACTTGGTTTGCTAATCCCTGGTTGTAATCTGTGCCTGCTATTTCTGCCCGCTCCAGCCACCCCCTGCCCTCGCCTGCTGCAGCAACTGGGATTTAGCAATCAGAGCGGACATACAGAGCAGAGAACACCACAGAGTTTCCTTTCTCCTTCAAGCCCTAGGAAGGTGAACCGTGTGGAGGAGGCTGAGGACCTCTTAGGGGAGGAGCTGGGACTCAGAATCTAGCAGCTCCCTTGTTCGGCGCTCATCCAGAAGACCAAAGTCCCTTCCTTTCTCTGAGTTCCAGCATGTCCTTGGTGAAACTCCAGGACGTTTTCTGGATCTGCCTGGCCATGTGGGAGGTGCACGGAGACATCCCCTTCCTGGCTGACAACGATGCTGTCCTGATGGTAAACTGGTAAGGACTAGAGATGAACTGTAATCCAGAGTGGTTGCTAGACTGGGGGATCTTCCTTTGTAAAAGATGTTCTCATCACTCGATGAAAGAGAAGTGCTGAGGGGGAAGAGTATTGCTGAGTAAGAACTTTTTGAGGGGTGGGGACTTGCATGAGTGAATGGTGTAATCGGGGTGCATGGCTGATACTGTGACTACATCCACAATAGGCTTTGAGGATCAACAATGGCTCACCTAGATGGGGGCTGATGTTCTGGGGCAGAGGATGTAGTTGTTGGAATGTTCTCTGCTTTCCTCTGACTCTTTCATATTTGGCACTATTGGCACAGCTGACATACATGCTATCCATAGCAAAGGCAGAAGCATACACAGTACAGACACTCCAGATCAGAGCAGGCCGAGGAGAGAACAATCTCAATGAGCGAGGAAAGAAGCAGGGATAAAGAAAAGAGAGTGCCATACCCCACACCCAGGGTTGGATCACCTTCACCTCTCCCTGGTGCTTGAAGAAGGATGCCTTTCTATGTCTTTACCTTAGGGTCTGGATTCTCTTCTCCGTCATTTCCTTGAGCCTAATATTTTGCTATCACGCGTTTACTTCATTCAATGAAGTCTGTACTACATCCCTCTTCCTTTGAATTTTATGCTGCAACCCAAAATGCCTACAAGCTGATGGAGAAGCATAATGCCTGTCCAGGATACATGCACTCAGCTTCCTGGGGGCTGTTAGGTACCAGGAGCTACCCAGGCAGAGAAGGGTTCTGAGGCTCAGGGGTGGTTTTGAGCACCGAGGACTTGTCCGGAATGAGGTGCACCCTAATTCCATGAAGCTTTCCCTCTTCCCTAGTCCTAACATTGTCCATATGACAATGCCTACTGATGGGTAGAGGCTTTCAGGGAAAGTGTTTGAGGACAGGCTCTGGAAGTAGAACCCATCTGCTCTTTAATGACCTTACCCCTCCCTTCCCTTGCTGGTTCTGACAAGGCCCTCAGGCTGGGCACATATGCTCTTCAAAAGCCTCAGTGCTCTGTGCTGCTCTGCTTCGCTTCTTCTCTCAATCCGGCTCTAGGGGAATCTCTTCCAATAATTCAAAACCGGAAGAAAGGGGCAAACAAAAGAAAGGTGGAAGAAAAAGGCCCCGAATCCCGCAAAAAACCCAACCGGCCAAGAAGCCCCGGGCCCCGCAAAAGGAAGGGGGGTAAAGAAGTAGGCCACCGGCCTTCACGCAAGCCTGAATCACCAAATCCTGCTTCATGTTTGCTGCTCAAGTGGTGGCAATTACAGGGCAAGCTAGTGCTCTTAATGTCATCCAAAGTGAGTTCACTGACAGATACACAACAGGTGGAGCCCCAGCTGCCAGGGCGAGGGGGTTGGGCAAGAATATCAGTGCTGGGGTAGGGTGAGTAGTGTCCCACGGCAATCTCACTGTACTCCTCCTGCCTGCCACAGTCCTCCTCTGTGCCCCTTGCCCACCAAGTCCCTTACCAGTGCTGGTGCTGATGTTCTCCGTGCCTACTGTCTGCCCCATTAGGTGGTACTGGTTAAGTCTGGAGCCGTCTTCTGCCACCACCACAGACTTGGCACTCTCGTGGGTCCAGACATAGACTACTTCAGAATTAGGGTATGCATCTGTGGGACCGGATGGAAGTGAATATAAGCATGGTGTCATTCCCAACATGCACAGCTGCAGATGCTTTTAAAAGAGAAAATGTGATTTGAAAATGAAATTTTAAATTTTATAACAAAAATTAGTGGGACGGTCAAATCCAGGGCAGGGACCAGCACAATTCAGGTCCTCACTATTCAAGTTTGAAAATCCAGGTACTTTCAGGATTTCCAGCATCTTTTTTTTTACCTCTAGAGTGACACTACTATCATTATCATGTAGCTGGGAGAATAAGTGACCAGACTTTGAAAAATCAAATCCCAGCCCCAGGGCCATGCCCAGTTACTTATGCTCTATACCTGATGGTTTTGAACGGTTTCCCTGGAGGTTAGCAGCTGAACTTGTAACTGCTACACCGCCAGGGCTCCTCATGTGTCTATAAAGTGAGGCTAATAATAGTATTTACTTCTTAGGGCTGTTACTCTGACTTCATAGAGCACATAGTAATATACTTCTGCACAGTATTTAATACCTGGGCACACTCCCTGCTTAAACTTTCCACTTCCCAAATGCCCAATATTTTTTATCTAGTGCTTCTTTAACAAAAATATATAAAAAATATAACTATAACAAAAAACTACAACAAAACAAAAAAATCACAAGTACATGGCTTTAATAGACATTTTCTTATTATGAATTAGGTGAGAGCATTAATATTTCACACCATCAACTCTGCATTCAATAGTTCAAGTGACTTATTAATCCCAACCCTGTATTCTAATCCACACGCCACCTCCAATTTCTCTTTCCCCTCTTATGGATCTACATCTCCCCTTCGCTCAAGTTAACACCTGTTAACCTTCTAGTCCATTGCCTCTTTCCATCCTTCCCTTCCCTCCCTTGGGGACTTTCAGAGACTGTTCCCTTTGTTATGAAAGTCATTATCTTGGTTTTTATTCTTTTACTAGTGGTCTCATAGAATAGTTGTCCTTTTGTAATTGTCCAACTTCACTCAACATGTTCTTGAGGACCATCCATGTCATGAGATGTTTACTTCTTTCATCCTTGTGTTTCAGTGATGCATAATATTCCCTTGTATGAAGCATTTCTCTGACCGTTCTTCTACTGGGGAGCATTTGGTCTTTTTCCAACTTCTTGCTCTTATGAACAGTGTTGCTATGAACATGTTTGTTTGTTTTTAATGGCTCTTACTTCTTTAGGATATATAGCCAGCAAAGGCAATGCTGGACCATATGGCATTTCTATTCATTTATTTGCATTAATGCCATATCATTTAAGCAATTGCTTAAATATTTACAAGTTCACTAGCAGTGTATGAAAGTTCCCACCTATCCACACTTCTCCAGAATTTGTTGTTTTCTTTCATTTTTAAAATTGGACTGCTATTGTCAGTGTAATATAATATCTTATTGTTGTCACTTGCAGGTGGATATGATCATGAGCACTTTTAGCATATATTTGTTAGCCATTTGGATGTCATTTTTTGTGAACTATCTTTTGTCCACTTTTTAATTGAATTATTGATTTTGCCTTATTGGGATTTTACCGTTTTCTATACATTTTAGAGATTGATACCTTCCCCCCATAGGCCCCCATTCATGGGTTCTCTTTTTACTCCTTTTTCTCCCTTTTCAACAGTTTCAGTGGCATATAATTCACATAGCATATAAATCAATAGTACAAACACATAAAGAAGAGTTGTACAAGCATCGCCACAATCAGTTTTACAACATTTCTTCATTCTTGTACTCATTGTTATTAGCTCCCCACATCACCCCTCCCCCGTCATACCTGTAAGGACCCACTACTCCAGTTACTGTCTCTGTAGATTTACATAGCCTGGAATTCATATATAAAAAAACATTGAAGACAAACTAACTAAAGAAAACAAGAATTAAAAATTAAAACAGATAAAAGACCTCTATCAAAAAGAAAGCTGAAACTTGAAACACAGGGAACCCAGGATAGATGACTTCTTCAGGACCAGCGGTAAGAGGGGCGAGGCCTGGAGGGTGAAGGGAATGTGGGGTAGAAGGGGGGAACCAATTACAAGAATCTAAGTATCGTCTCCTCCCTGGGGGGTGGACAGCAGAGAAGAGGGCGGAGGGAGACGTCGGACAGGGTAATTTATGACAAATCTATAATAATTTATGAATTATGAAGGGTTCAGGAGGGAGGGGGAGGGGGAAAATGAGCAAACGATATTGAGGGCTAAAGTAGAGGGCAAATATTTTGAGATTGATGAGGGCAACGGTGTACATAGGTGCTTGACTCAGTGGATGTATGTATGGACTGTGATAAGAAATCTATGAGCCCTCAATAAAATAATTTTTTTAAAAAGAAAGCAGAAAATATTAAAAACTGGAACAAATTAAAATGGATCATGAGGGAGAGCAAATGATAGGGTACTAAATTTTAACCTAATTGCATCTGCAACAGTTCACTTTTGATTAAATCCTTTGTGTACATAAGTGTCTTATTTTTAGTATTCATCTTTTTTTGTCTTCTAGAGTGTGTGATTCATTATATCCGATAGTATGCCTATCCCCTGCACTAAGGCCCTTATGTTTGTCCCCATTTTCCTCACTGATGATCTTTGGAGCTCTAGGATTTCCATTCAGGCCTTTAATCCATCTTGAGTTCATTTGGTACATGGGGTGAGGTATGGGTTCTGTTTTATTTTTCTGCCAATAGAGATCCAATTTTGCCAACATCATTTGTTCACAAAAACCTCTTTTTCCCATTTAATGCTTTTTGGCTCGTGGTCAAAGATCAGTTCTTTGTAAGTGGATTAACTTATTTCTGGGTTTTCTGTTCTGTTCCGTGGGTCTATTTAGATGTTATTTTACAAAAACCAGGCTGTTTTGACTACAGCAACTCTGTAATCGGCTTTGAGGTCAGCTAGAGAGAGACCTCCTCTTCTTAAGTTTTTTGCTTATTTTGGGACTCCTCCCTCCATATATACATTTAGTAATTAGTTTTTCCATCTTTCTCTCCACTTTTATCTCTAATAGATAAAAGGTGCCTCTGGCCACACCCCAGGTAAGGTCACTAGCACAGGATCAGGGCTGTAGCCTGAGCAAAGGGGTTACATTCCACCCTAATCTGTGGGTGAAGCACATCAGATCACAGCATAAAGTGTGACTATAACAGGAAATAACCACTATTTTTTTAGTATTACATAACTGCCCAAACTCTGGGATTCATGGTCCAGTGGGGTTGACACATATTTTAGGGATACCCAATTTCATCCATGACACTCCACCAAAAAGTCAAGTCCTTGCCACATACAAAACATTGTCACCCCAAAAGTTTTCAATACAAATTCCATTCTGGGGCAAAAGTCTTCTTCATGTGTGAATCAAGAATGCAAATTATCTGATTCCAAAGTACAATTGTTGAATAGGCTCAACGTATCCATTTCCACTACAAAAGGAAGAAATTGAGGAAAAGAAGAAATCACAAGCACTACACTTGGCAGGAGAAAGATGAGGTTTTTGACTTGCACAGAGACCAAAGTCTCGGAAACCCACAGGGTAGGTTTACCCTGTTCCATAGAGTTCGATGAGTTGGGATCAACTTGACAGCAGTAAGAATTTTTGGATGTAAAATACAAAACAAACAAGGAAAAAAACCCAGAACTATTTACATTCATTTTCAAGGCTTGAAACCATCAAGACAATAATGTCTTAGCCCTCTATATTGTGTGTGTTGGCTATGTTTTCTGGATTTGGGACTCTATCTTCCAGGCCCACTGGGACAGCATCTGTACCCATAGGCTTTGAGTGGCCCCATTACCCTAGTTCAAATGAGTGGCAGCTCCACCAGCCCTGGAAGACCCTGTTCTCCTGCACCTTGGTCATAACAGCTTCCCTCCCTCAGCTTTGGGTGGCAAATATGGCACCCTCTGGCACTTGTGAACGACAGCTATACCATCGGAAGCAGAATTAGTGACAATCTGACTCCTTTAAAAGAAGTTGTGGCCTCATCCTTTCAGAGGCCAAAAGTCAGCCCTACCCTTGAAGACCAGGGCAGCTATGCCTTTGATGGTCCTTGTCACTTTAGTCTCTGCTACAAGGACCCTTGGCCTCTCAAACCCTTGCCTCCTCAGACTGTTTGCCTTTGCTCAATACCTTCCCTACTCAAGTAAGTGCTACAAAGCACTTACCTATATTTACAAGGGCCTAGAGAAATACCACTTCACCAGTAAGGTTCACCTCAACTGTCACCAGAGTTCCTGGGCTGACAAACATAAATCCGCTGACAAGTGCTAAGGGGTACCTCATTCCATCAGGAGGAGCCCTGCTCTCTTACTATGTAAGCCAGCTCAATACAATCTCCCATTGCTGCTGCCATTTCTCTGCTGCTGTTTCTTAGCGCCTGTCCCATCTCGCCTGACTTCCAAGTCCTCATAATTCTACCAACAATCGCTTTGAGATAATCTAGGCTTTTACTATCTTACTGTGTCAATTTGTGAAAACCCTAAATCCGCAGCACAGAAGTGAATAGGTTGGAGCACCTGTGAATCCTGGCCAGGATGTGAGTGTGATGCGGATGACTGAGGGCAGCAAGGTGGAGTCTTCCTATGGAAGACTCCTATCCTGCTTCCTGCTTTGCTGGCAGGACTGTCCTGTTACCATCATACCTTCCCTAGTTACCAGTAACACACCAGGTCAAATGACTGGGTACAGATGGTAAACTCTCACTTCCCAACCCACAGGGAGCTATACATCTAATCCTGGTAGAAAGAAGATGCACCCACAGAGCCTTTAAAAGGAGTGAGCAAACTGAAGTTCAGGAAGTAGCTCAAGTTTAGGGCATCTGCTCCTATGACAGGGTGAAGTTCTCCACAATCAGGAAGCATTGTGCATACGAACATGTATAAAGAATGTAGAGTATAGCAGGGCACTCTCAGGTGCCCAGTATGTTCAGGTAGGAAGAAAGCGGGGAAAGAAAGTTGTGTGCAGGGAAGGGGCAACTTTCTAGACACTTGGTACAATCT